TGCCAGTGGCTGTGACTGTCCGGGCATATCATAGTAACTTGTGGAAAGAATTCGAAGTCACTGCTTCCAAGAAGGGTTAATTTGGTTCATATGATTTGTGCGACGGGCACGTGTTTGGGTCTATCGAAACCAGGCAGAATCCAATGATGAATTTGACCTACCCACCTGGGAGAGAACTGCTGGCGAAAGCCGTGCTGTACACAACATGCAATTCATCTTATTTTGGGTAGAAATATGATAAAAATATTAAAGATCTTTTTAAGATATTCATTTCTTTTTCCTTTTTGCAGTAAGATCAATGCGAAAGTCACGTGATCGCGACGCTAAAGGTATCTATATCAGCGCCAATTCAGGACAATTTTTTTCTGTCTCTCAGAACCTCCTCACATTTCCATCCGGTAGAAAACAATATATAGATTCGCCAGTGAAGAACAGTTGCATGCCATATATATGTACCATGAATGAGGGATCAGCAACATTACTTCGTACAACATCAACAAACAAGCAAGACAAAACAAATAAAGCAGAGAATAAAAAAGCAAAGCATGAGAAGAGACATCGGACATGTCTGCTCCTGAAAAAGAAGTCCTGAGAAGCATGGTGAACCAGGCGATTGATGTGGAAACAAGCAATCGACAAGCCAGCCCACCGTTGCATCGCATACACTACGATGGAAGTATGCAGCCGTCGACTCGACTCGCCTCAAGTTAGCACGAAAACGAGAGGTATGTCAACCAGTATCCCCATTCTTTGAAGAGTTTTCTGGCGGCTCAGTACTGCTGAGCGCAGATGATGGACTAGTTGTAGAACCGGCCGAAGCAGGCGCGTTTGCCACTGCTTGTCCTAAGGCACCTAGCTTGACCTGTATTTTTTTCACAGGCGGGTCATCGCCCTGCTTCCCGCTACGACTTGACGATACACCAGCGCCACCTGCAGGCGGTTGCAGCCTCGGGGACGGAGAGCGTGCATTTGAAGAGGGCGACGGCGAACGAACACGCAAGCCCAGGCCGTCCGGGGCCGGTGACCCCTCCGCTCGATGCACCTCCGTGCGTTTCACTTTGCTCAGCCGTTGCATTGGCTCATCCTCATCCTCCTCACGGCGACGCTTCAGCTTTATTGGCCCAAACGAAGTCGCACTTGACATGAGCCCTGGCGCAGGTGATTCGGGCCGCGAACGCAAGCGCGCAATCGCCTCTAGCGTGTCATCGTCGTCTTCTGCAGTCGGCGTCCGTCTTGGCATCAGTGGAAGCCCAGGTGCGCCAGAGACTGTGGGCGACCCAGACAGTGGCCGGATTTGACGATGGGTTATCTTTGGCGTCGTTGGAAGACCTTCCGACTTTGCTTGTTGATGCTGTGGCGATGGTTGCTCCTGCGGACTGGTAGGAATTTCGTCGTCGTCATCGCCATAGTCGGACAAGGACCCAAGCCCGGCAGTGCGGAGGGAAGGAGATGCCGTCAGACGTGGGGGGAACAGCTTCACTGGACCACTTGTGCTGCCCATGTTCATTCCCGATCGCCGCTTGCGCTTGATGCCTTGTGGCCCACGCCCTGCACGTTGGTGGCTGATCGACGGTATGATCTCGTCTTCATCATCTGCATTGAAGTAATCTTCTTCTTGTGTATCCATGCCGCGGCCAGCGGCTGACCACAATCGAGTCTCCGGCCTGTGCACATGTCCACAGATACAGCAAAACAAACATAGAAGCAAATGGCATAATTAATTAGAACCTTGAGAACCAGAATAAAAATACAGAACACGCACTTGACAAGCTTGGTTTCTGGAGAAGGTGGCGGCTCGAGGTTGATTTCCCAGCGCATGATGAACGACTGGAAACGTTCAGCACCAATAGGAGACTTAGCAAGTTCGCGGATAATATCTCCGTGCTTCTCCATGCAGTATGAGATGATATCCTTGACGTTATCCTACAGAACGTTTGGCGTGTGTCAGATACTTAGAAGATTGTTTGTGACAAGAGTGATAGCGACTCACCCTCTTGACCAATTCAAACAACTCTTGACACGAGCAACTCAACAGGGAATCCCGCTTCGACTCGTGCAAGGTCAAATCGAGGATCGGCTTCAGAACATCATGTGACCGTATCTGAAGAAGCATATTGCTGTTGTTCTGCTTTATGAGTAATTTGAAGAAGCGGATGACACCTAGAAATATCAAATTCAGCGTATGTTAGATGGGGTAACGGCCAAGTGAAGCAAAAACACGAAGTGCTGTCGCGCCAGAGTGGCGTGTCTTCATCCTGCACAAGCCTCCCCTATCTCAGAAAAAGAAAAAAGGTACATACCATGCCGAAGGTGCTTGTCTCGGGCCTTCAGCAGGCTGGGAATCTTTCCAATAATCTTCGTACTCATGATGAAGAAAAGACTCCTGAACGAATGCTGCATCGTGAAAGAATGAAGTAAGTCACACAGATACAGGTAGCGATTCGTTTGCGCTCGTGAAAGCGGAAGCTCCGCGCCCTGCACATCATGCCAGTCCGGTAGATCCTGGAATGGCTTGAATAATGAATGTGCCGGGGATTTGTAGAAGAACTCCATGAAACGTTCTGTGCCAGGATCGTCTTTGCGCATGCGAGCAGTTAACATCTAAATCCAAGAAAGATGGCAAAATAAAATTGCGACGATTAGCACGGGAGGACAAAAAGAGGAGAAACGTAACATCCCACCTGTGCCTCTGGACTAATCTGAGGTGGACTGTCGTTGTTGGGGAGATCAAGCCACGCCTTCAGAGCTTCACCAACTTGACTTTGAGCGCCCATGTCCGTCGTGTGCGCCATGATGCGACACGCAAGGTCAAGAATCGTCTCGCGGAAGAGGAGTTTGCGAGACGTAGGATCGAGCTGAGCCGTCTTTTCCAAGGTGTTGCATTGCTTCATCACATGGGCGCGTACACCACTCAAATCGTGGTCAATTAGCGTCCACAGAATCTCGCCACCAACGCTCACGACGCGACGTGCCATGCATTTCTCCTCTTCTGTTTCCTTCGGCCGTTCATCTTCTTCCAACGCCCACTGCACGATGAGCAACATGCCCCGGTCCACAAGCGAACGGAACAACGCAATGCGGGCCGCGAGCTGCACTGCTTTGCCCATGGTGCACAGCTGCTGTAGCAGAAAGACAACCTGCTCTTTTCGTCGCTGTTGCTCGCGCGCGTCGGGAGGAGCCGGAGGTCCCTGAGAAGGAGAATCAACATCCATAGCTGTGTCGTTACCACTGGACACAGCGACGGGTACGCCGCGACCAAGGAAGAGCTCTGCAATGTCGTTGAGGAAGTGTGGGTCCTGCTGCACGTACGTGATGATGTCGATCTGATTAAAGATGATGCATGACGAAAGTACATTGACCGTCGAATCATCGATCACGCGAGTCAGCACGACATCCTTGAGGAACTGTAAACGATACGTCTGATGGATCTTTCGTGCGATACTTGGGTCGCGGAACTGTACTGGCTGATGGAACTGCGCTGTGTCCGCAAGAAACTCGCGATAATTGGCCTTGAATGTTAGGAAATCCGCGTCGTCTGTCACGTCTCGTTCAATATACGCAGAGGGGGATTGCATATGACCCACATTCGAGGATGCCCATCACACCGAGAAAGATATCGTCCTGCAGAATATGCTCATACAGATTTGGATCAGCGAGGACAAGGATCGTCTGCATGAGACTGCAGATCGCGTGCAGGTCATCCAGCTGCTCGAGGTCCTCGGCCGTGTGCATGACGTCAATCAACTGTTGGACGTAGCCCTGGCTCGAGCGTCAATATGCACGCACACACACAAGTACATGTACACCGTTGCACGCACCGTCCGCAGAATTTGCTCAGAAAGGCGCTCTTTCGAAGCCTGTGTGCGCGCCATGGCCCTGATGGCACGCTCAATATCCCCCGCATTTCCGAGTGCGGGGGTCGGGAGACGACCTGAACGTACGACGGCAGTGACGAAACTGTCGTTGGCATATGCTGCTGGAGATGATGAAGCCATTGCCGTGTCGTCTGTGCTACCTGGCGGCCCGCGCGAGTCTCCGGTCGCCATGGCCTCTTCGCCCGACAAGTGCCGCTGGACCTCGATGATGAACGTCCATATTTCAGAGCAGCCATCTGGATCCTGGAAGCTGAGGGCATAGTCCATGCCATCTGGCTCTGTCCAAACAATAAGGGTATCCTGCTGCCGTTGATAGACGTCGTTTGAGCGGATAGTTGTTGTGAGGATGACCTCATCGTAGTCACGCTCGGCACGCGCCAGCACGCGAGGTTCGCCGTTGTCCTGGACTTCTCCGAAACAGAACGCAGTGCCCTTGTCGACCCAATTCGATCCAATGAGCTGGTACACCTGCAAACAAAAAAGCAATCAGGTTTTGCACATTGAAGCTGTGGCCACGCCACGCCTATCGCGCATACCTTGACGCGACGGATCGTGTGCTCATCATCGAGCGGCTCCTCCGGTATGTCGCCAAGTTCACTACCGAGCTCACTGGGGGACACGGTGTCTGGTACGTATTCCCCCGAAGGATGGGTCTGCACGTCGCCGGCCACTGTGCCGTCATGCTGTGCACCAACCGCGTGCGTCTCATCGGATTCCTTCGAGAAATCCGTCTCGACGGTGAGTTGATGTAGTTGGTCTGAGGCTGCCGGGGCTGCGGCATCCAGCAACAAAGAGGAATGGTCGTGCAAATCGAGTTCGGCATCGTGGCGCGCGATGTGGTCCTGTGACGACAACTCTTTTGAGTCGGCCGCACTCATGACAGGCCGAGCAACGGCTATCTCGTGGAAGGACAATACAATACAGCTGCGATGTATATATCAGAATAAAAAATGTGGCGCGCAGAAGAGGATAAGAAGGTGTGCACAGTGGCGGTCAACTTGAACAACACTGGCAATCGAAAGTGACTGTTGAACTTGAAAAAGCCGATCAGCCGAAATAGGCAACAACAATGACTCATCATGGACAACAATCAAATTAATCAAACTCAAGTGTTTTTGTTAAGTAGGTCGCTTAGCTCGAGGGTAGAGCGCACGCTTCGCATATCCAGTTGTGTGCGTGAGATCGTGGGCTCAATTCCCACAGCGTGTTGTACAGGTTTGGTAATGAAAATGGACTAACCTTTTTTTATGTCGTCGATGGCATCCATCATCTCATCACTTGGAAACGTCGGCTTCGCCGACATAGACCTAGCTGAAAGGCGTGCGCACGGGGTTTTTAGTGGGGAGATATTTTTTGATGATTTACAGTCGGCATACGTAGTGATTCGCACCAAGAATTTAAGGAGAGGTCAGAAAAAATGATTGTGTAGACTTATGGTATCGGTACGATATGTACATGTCAATGAAAAATATATGTAGTGGTGCATGAGTTGGTGAAGAATCTGTAGAACAAATTGAACAGTGGGAAAATGGTTGGAGCAGGAGGTGTATCGGACAAGAACAGTCAGGCAAGAACGGCTGTGGAAGGTGACGTCAAGGACGATCGATGACATACGGCTTGTTCTCGGCCGTCGCTGTAAGGATAAGTGGTAGACGTGGATTAGTTTTTGGAGAAAAGTTGTGGCTGATTTTACGGCCGTAAAATGTTAGTTGTGCAGTGATGAACTGCATCATGTCGGAGTATGTGTGGATGGGATTGTTAGGGTTATTGTTGTTGCAGAAATTTATATGATTGAAAGGATTGTTGTCCTCTATACCATAGTGCACAGCGAACGCGTACTCCCGCGGTCGGAAAATAGGAAAGAGATCACGCGGACATGGCTGTAAGGATGGGGAAGGACGTCATCGCCAAAGACGGGAATGGTGATTCATTGATGGGGATTGATGCAAAATTGAGTCATTGCGAACGAAGTGAGCAATCATCGGCTAAGGGGTAAGGTTCGCAGTGACTCACAAATAAACAACGACAAACGAGTAACCTCGAAAATGGTTGTCGCCGCGATTATTGAACAGGGCACAGACCATACAAACCTTCTTCAATGGATCTGAAAATTTGCAGGTCATCTGTACTCAACGGGCGCTACACGCCCGTGTTTTCCGTTTGTTCTGGCATGACCTACTTCTTGAGGTACTGGATGTGGCCTATGTATGTGTACGAGTGCGGTCAAATCCAATGCATTCTGCTTTCTACCACACTATTCGGGTGCACATGTTACTCTCCTAAGGCGTATCTATGCTTTGGGGCCGTCACTATCTGAAATTGACTTGAAGCACACTCAGCTTTATGTTCGCTGCCACACCAAGCGGCGATTTCCTCTTTGGGAATTCGAACAAACGCGCTCCATCAATCAGAATGATGGCGCATCATTATTATTATTACTCTCGCGTTAGAATGGGTGATCTTGGTGGTTCAAACGTGCAAATTTCAAACCCTACAGTCTCGTTTAGCACGCAGATATCCTAATGACAATACAATCTAAAATTTCACTGTAACTTGTGCGTCGCGCTGACAGATCGGAGTGAGCTCTTCCATGGGTCACCCATCCTTTATAATGTTGTTATTGCCTTCCACTGCTCTCCGCGTAAAGAGGTGTCGAAGTTTAGGCGGGTATGAAGCTGGCCATTATAGAAGTTCGAAATGTGCAAGTAAGGACGAATTCGACTGCGAACCGCAACCGCTAAGAAGAAGAAACGTCCATCAAATGATCGATCGGTGGCACTGTTAACCCTCAGCAGAGACCTAGCTTTCAGCTAGGTAACGTGATCATGATGCACGCAACGCGGTCACACAACTGATGCTCGTTAAGTACATAAGTATTTCTCAAACTGATTTCATGCGTTATCATTCGTTTGATATTTTGCATACAACTATAGAGAACTTGCATTGTTATCCAAGCCGGCGCTCGAGCCTCACGCGCACGTTTAAGATCCCGTGAAGATCCCGCGCGATGTCATCCACACCGCGCTCTTCGAGTGCCTTAAGCACCTCTAGCAGGCCGACAAACACGAAGAAACGGCCATCGGACACCCGCTCACAACCAAACGCTAAACGACCCCGACAGACGTTGGATTCATTCTTCGTCCCGCTCTCCCCCGCTTCATCTGGCGCGTCGGAAAATCAACCTATCAAACTCAATGACCAGCAGGAAAAAGTCCTTCGCATGGTCGTTAATGAGGGCAAGAACGTCTTCTTCACGGGTTCAGCAGGTGAGCAGCATGTGTATCGTTCACATATACTTTCCTCGAACGAATCTAGGAACCGGTAAATCACTACTTCTCCGCACGATCATCGCCGCTTTGCGCAAGAAATACCCAAAGAACCCAGAATTTGTAGCTGTAACGGCAAGTACTGGAATGGCCGCTTCCAACATCGGTGGTGCGTGGCATCTCACATTGGCACACAATCCGAGACCCAACCTCTGTTAGGCATGACCATCCACGCGTGGGGTGCTATCGCGCCGACTGTCCAAGACATCGAGAAATTGATCAGCTACGTTAAGACCTGTCGACCAGCCTACAAGCGTTGGCGTAATGCCAAGGTGTTGATTATTGACGAAAGTACACACATCGAGCATCCACGCAGGTCAGAACGCTCATATTGTATTAGTCTCCATGGTAGATGGCCAGTTCTTCCAAATATTGCATGACCTGGCTGTGCGCCTACGCAAGAAGACAAACCACCCGTTTGGCGGACTTCAGATCGCGGTCACCGGAGATTTCTTCCAGGTGACTGCTCTCGCTGGTCTGTGGTCGTACAATTCCCTGACAGAGATTGCAGCTACCCCCAGTGACGCGAGGATCAACGGAGCCCATATTCGCGTTTGAATCGCCAGCATGGCAGACCTGTATTGAGCGGACCGTCAACCTGACACAGGTGTTCCGGCAGAAGGACAGCCGTATGTCATAGGTAGCTTGAATATCAGACATACAAGTGGCTAACTATCTCATTAGACTTCGTCGACCTTCTTAATGAGCTGCGCTCTGGGATGATCTCGCAGCGTGCCATCGACACGTTCAAGGGACTCGCCCGGCCCCTGCCTCCGTCCGACCTGCAACCAACAGAGCTCTTCCCCCTGCGTGCTGAGGTCGACAAGGCCAACAGCACACGCCTGGACGCGATTAATGAAGGACCGGTCACATTCACTGCAATTGACTCGGGGAACGCCCAGCCAGACCGACGTGCGAAGTTGCTGGAGACCTTGCCCGTACCTGAACAATTGCACCTAAAGGTCGGCGCGCAGGTGATGCTCATGAAGAATATCGACGAGCAGCTCGTCAACGGCACGGTTGGCACGGTGATCTCGTACGAGATCGCGCCACGAAATGCGGGTATCTCCCCCGGCGGCACAGGCGCCGTGCGCCACGTCCAGATCGACGCCACTGGCAAAATGATCCGCGGGGACAAGGAAAACAAGGAGGTCAAGCCGTCACCGTCGCACGGCAAAGATGCCAAGTCGCCATCCAGTGCGGGATCGCTTAAGGACTTCCGGACTGCGCCACAACTGAAAGCGTTCAGTTCGAAGGAGGCGAAGATGACGGAACCACCCAAGCCGGTGTCTCGTGCGCCAAACGGGAAGCCGGCTGCCGCCCGCCGGCCGAGAGCGCGCATAGAGATTTTCCCGCTTGTTGAGTTCACGACGCCGACCGGGAAGGAGATCGTGCTTGTTGGCCGCGACGAATTCCGCGTCGAGGATGCCGACGGGGCACTTCTCGCGCGTCGGCTGCAGGTGCCGCTGATCCTCGCTTGGGCGATGTCGATACACAAGAGTCAGGGGCAGACTCTGCAGCGGGTCAAGATCGATCTGGGTCGGGTGTTTGAGAAGGGTGAGTCGGTTGACGCTTGGTTTAAATTGCGTATCCAGATTTCTCAATGGGTCTCTTTTTTTCGCTGAGATTAGGGCAGAGTTATGTTGCTCTTTCGCGTGCTGCTTCCATGGACGGACTTCAGGTGCTAGGATTCAGTCCATATAAGGTACGTTTCGCCAAGCAGATTCTTTCGCTTGGCTTGCTCACGTTGTTCGTAGGTGGCCGCCCATCGCAAGGTCATAGAGTGGAGTAAGACCATGACTCTGGGCTAATACACACCGTACTCAGTTGTTGTGCATTCACAAAACACTCTTTTCGAGGTTTCGCAACTACATATGTATGAATTAAAATAATGTGATTATGGGAATAAAATTATCGTAGACGCGACGAATACATGAGAACTCGGATCTCAGAACTAAGGTTCGTGATTACTGGTCCATATGTGAAGTACTAAGTGCTGATGCGGGATCGGAATGTCGCGTATTGTTTTCCGCGGCGCCGCCTCGCTGCTGCATTTGCCGAAGAAAACATGACAAGATCAAAGACGGCCGGTTTGTCTTCACCAGAGCTGCCATCCTGCGATCATGAATGGTCCGCTTGGGAACATGAAGATGATAGATATCCTTCAGGTAACAATTCCTTCGAAGGCTGGACTAGGACAAGCCAGATATGAGGTACACTGGAAGATGAGGTAAGTTGTGGGTCCCATGACTCTTGCCGCCAATTAGCATTTTGACAACCATACGTAACTAACTATTTGGGCTACGGCTTTCGCCAGTGGTTCTCTCCCAGGTGGGCAGATCGAATTCATACTTGGATTCTGCCTGGTTTTGATAGACCCAAACACGTGCCCGTCGCACGAATCATATGAACCAAATTAACCCTTCCTGGAAGCAGTGACTTCGAATTCTTTCCACAAGTTACTATGCCCGGACAGTCAGCGCTTCAGCCACTGGCACAAGGAAGCAGTTCCCTACTCTAGAGTATGGGGTGAATGTCAACACACAATAGTACGTATTAGTAGCTTGGCTGGGTAAAAATGTTGTCCGTCGACTGGCGGGGTATAGTCCAGCTACGCGGCGCTTCATAGACATACAATTATAATATAGCACGACGTTGTTAAATAGTAGGGGGGGCTGGGAATGACTGTCTTATCGTCCACAAAGGGCAAACAACTAGACGAACCATAAGAACCACCAAGGAGCCCTACATGACAATACAATCCTTCTTATGACGGAGCTTGCGCTTGCGCTCCTCTTCCTGCCGGATGAACATCTGTTCACGATGACGTTCGTCTCTCTGAGCGCGCTTTTGCTCTTGCTCGCGTCGCTGTCGAAGAGCCTC